CCTCAAGCTCCATGCATGAAGCACCAAGTCAGAATTTGCCTCTTTTTCAAGGATGAATAATATTCCTTTGAAGACATCGTCTTTAGGAAGTATAGAGTCCTCTTTTGAAAGAAACCCTCTTCTAAGATGTTCACCATAGGGCCAGGAAGATAGCTTGCTGGATTACAGCACCTGATTTGGCAGAAACAGGGGTCACAGGCTCCATGCCAGGCCAGCTGTGCCAACTGAGCCCCGAGACACAGAGAGACAGAGATAGAGACTTGGTGAGCTGGCACACACCTGTAACCCCAGGACTTGGGAGGCTGAAAAACAGGCAGGATCACTACAAGTTTGATATGCATAGTGAGGCCTTGTCTATCCTGTACTAAACACATAAACAACCCTTTACACATAGAGTGACTACTGATGAGTTCGCTGCCTCGCTAGACAAGGGCACACTCACACTACCTCAGACCATCACACCCCTGAGCTAGCTTTTGTCAGTGTGTCCCACTGCTTGGCACTAAGGTCCACCACCAGGTCCACAGCTGGTTATTGGGAACTGGCCAAGAGCCCTATTTCCTGAAGGACATGCTGTACTCCTCAGGACCCCTGTCATCCAAGAGCTTCAGAGGGTGGGGACACTGCATAGAATGTCGTGGAAGTTCTCAGGGTGGCACCAGGAAGCAGCCTCACACTGCCTGGAGTGCCTCTGAGATGTGCATTCCCAGGCCCGCCCCATCACAATCCATCATACTCCACCTCTCCCCACCCACGGGCACAGACACTCCTGAGGCTCAGGAAGCAGGGCTGGAAGAAGCCCTGGGATTCTTGAGCCCACAGCACCCTGTGCATCACACACTGTATGCTGCGTGCCTGAGAGAATGCACAACCTGCCTCAACTTACCTGTTGTGGAGGAAGGCGCCTCTGTATGATACTGGATGGTGGTCACAAAGGCTCCTGAGAAACCAGAAAGGGACCAAAGTCAGGTATCTGTTAGCCATGAGTCCCAACAGAAGAACAAATCTGTTCTGTGGTTATTTCCCTTCATAGAAAATGGTCTTAAGAGCCTCACATCCCAAATGGAGTACACCAGTACCTTCCCTGGTGGGCCCTGGAGCTGCTTCTGTCCACAGCAGCTCTGCTCTGCCCCTCCTCTGTCATCGCACCCTCACTCAGCCTGACTCTTGTTGTGGACATGGGAGAGCAGGCAAGAATCCCAGGGTGAGCAGAGGGATGTACCAGGACATAATCACAGCCCTCCCCCGCGCATGCCCACGCCCACACAGGACACCCATTCATGACATTCTGCCTGCTGCAGCCCACCCCTCCTGCTCCACTGTCTGATTAACACACACCCTTTGCCCTAAGATCCACATGGAAGGCATCCTCC